TTCTTCTTCTTCTTCTGCTTCTTCTGCTTCTTCTGCTTCTTCTGCTTCTTCTTTTTCTTCTTTTCCTTTTTCTTCTTCTTCTTCTTCATCTTCTTCTTCTTCTTCTTCATCTTCTTCTTCTTCTTCTTCTTCTTCTTCTTCTTCTTCTTCTTCTTCTTCTTCTTCTTCTTCTTCTTCTTCTTCTTCTTCTTCTTCTTCTTCTTCTTCTTCTTCTTCTTCTTCTTCTTCTTCTTCTTCTTCTTCTTCTTCTTCTTCGCGCTCACCGGCTGTAAACTCTGGCAGAAAGTTCTGGTTATTCGTCCATTACTGGACTTTTAGTCTATTTCCAGAACCTGAGTGTTGCGTGTGCATACGTTGTACAGAAATGACTCATTTGCATGCCGCTGTTGGTTTCTACTCTATAGGAAGCTCCCAGCTAGTCGACTCTTAGAACATGTTTTTGGGTAGACAGTGGGTCTAATCTTGCTATACCTTCAATAGGGTCCCGGAACCCACACGAGAACTGTGTTATGTAACTGACTGTTGCCTTTAAATCCCAGTCGTCACATCAGAGACTGAGGACTTTGGGGCTGTAACACCTTAAAGCCCTTCCATCCCCCCTCCCCACCCCTCCTCACCCAACCCCTCCCCATCACTTCTCCCCACCCCCACACACCCCTCCCCCCCCCCCAAATAAAAATTGGTTAGATGTAAAAAAGCCTAATCTTCCCCCTTTTTTTACACGCACACACACACACTCACACACACTAAATTTAAGGGTGCTGAGCACCCCCCCCCCCTCCAACCGCATTTTTTTCAGACGTTAAAATATTTTATTTTATGTATTCGCCAGTTAGCTTATTCCTAATAATATTGCCCCCTCACCCCCGCCCCCACCAGTCACTTGTGTGGTGGTGCTCAGGCATCACGTAATATGTTCTCTAACTCGTTATATTGGGTCAGAGTTTGCTGTAGAAACCTGGCTTCCCTGATGACCACATCACGTGTGCGTTCCTCCTCAGTAATAATGTACTTGTAATGTTCCGTGGTGGCTTTTTCTCCCTCAGACTTCAAGGTACCAGTTTGTAATAGCTTCATAACATAATGTGCTTTTATGTAAAAATACCAAACCTGAGACATACATAACATACCCATCGACCCGTACATTTCTTCATGTAGCCATTCTAGTTTCTTCTTTAGTCTTCACTTCTTTGTGTTAACTTGTTCTATCATATGCAACTTCTTTTGTTCCATGATCTGGGACTGCAAAGTTACAAACAGATCAAATGCAGATGTTATGGAAAAATTGCTAATGGAAAGAGGATAACTAAAAAAAAAATTAACAAAGACAATTGAAATATTTTGACCTCATTAAAAAAACATAATGAGCTTTTAAAAACCATACTGGATAGAAAGTTCGAGGTAAGGAGAACAAGAGGTAGGTAACGATACAGTTGAAAAACACCATCAGTAATGGACGAAAAGCTATCTGAGAGAGTGAAAGACCGTGACATGATGTAGGCTGTATTGGAGATCTATTGCAAGCAACTTTCAATGATGAGACGACACTTGACTGAGGAAGCAAATAAGCAGTAAATACTCAACAAACTCCAAGAGACAAATCAGCTTGTGCTACAGCTGTTGGCAGCCAGTTGTGACATAGTGTTGTGTGCGAAACCACTGTCCCTTCCCACAATATCACACTTTAGCCAAATCAGCGAGCCACACATAGCAGGAATTGAGACTGGATAAACTTGCCAAATAGTGAACACATAAAAAACAGTGCCTCTATCCGGGATCACTACAAAAGGCAAAGACATTGATCAAGAAGAAGAACCGAAACTTAGGCGAAGATGATCGCCACAAGGAAACAAAACTCAAATCAGATAGCAAAGACACCTCTCTTCGATAAAGCAGGCCTTCGGGTGCCTAAAAAAGGACTAAGTTTGAAATTTTTGTTTGCTTTTATCCATCCATCCATCCATCCTCAAGAAGAAGTACGAAAATTCCTGGGCGCGGATAATATGCAGCGAACATTCAGCCTACTAAATCAACTGATTACAAATTGGAAACTGCAGAAATAACAGTGTCCTGGCTAAACCACACACTAAATAACTGAGCACATACTGAAGAACTGCACCCCTACAGCAAAACTTGCGCGAAAACACATGCTCAGAGGAATGGGGCATTCCGGTCAAACTTTGGGAAACCCTTGAAGGCTCGCTGCTTACGTGCCAGTTCACTGAGGCAACACACCTGATAGCCTGAACATATGAAACTGATCGCAAAGAAAAGGAGGAAATAATTGGGCCAATAAATAATCACGTCAACAGTATAAACTTCTCTAAAAAATTCGATGACAGAGAGGATTCTAGAGTGGCCGTTACTAATGATGTCTACAGATAATTTCCCCGCTCAAGATTTCTTTAGCGAACGGGAGGGGCTGTATGAAGTTTGTTTGCATTTAAAGAACAAACACAGTGCCCTCTGTCGCGCTGAGCGTTTCTGTAATAACAGAAGACGAACCAAAAGGAAGCGAGAGAAATTCTTTAGGGACCCGTATCAGTTTGCCCGAGGTCTATTGGAGCAACCGAAGTCTGTGACTCTGGTTGTCAGTAAGGAAGAACTTGAGTTACATCTACGCAAGATGTACTCTGACAAAAAGAGGAGAGATTCTCCCGATGACAATCCAGAGATCCTTAGCGGCCTCAAGCAGCCTGAGTCGCCGAAGGTACCATTTAAAATGATACCTCCCCTTCGGTCTGAGGTTGAGGAAGTTGTGAAAAGGGCCAGTGACAAATCTGCCCCAGGTCCGAATGGTGATCCGTACGTTCTTTACAAGCGTTGCCCGAAAATCCTAAAAATGCTTCACGTCTTGTTGAGACAAACGTGGATCCGTAAACACATATGTCCAGAGTGGCAAAAGGCAAATGGGGTCTACATTCCCAAAGAGCAGGAATCGAAGAGTCTTTCCCAATTCAGGCCCATCTCGCTGTTGAATGTCGAGGGTAAGATATTCTTCTCGGTCATGGCTCGCCGGCTCACACAGTATCTGATGGCTAACAAGTACATCGATACGAGTGTTCAGAAGGGTGGTATTCCGGGCGTTCCTGGGTGCCTTGAGCACGCTACCATGATTTGGGAGGCTATTACGAGAGCCAAGCATATGAGAACTCCATTGCACGTGATATGGTTGGACTTAGCCAACGCCTACGGGGCAGTTCCCCATAGGCCACTGTGGCGAGCCCTTCGCATGTTCCACGTACCGGCACAGGTCAATGATATGATCGAGCAATATTTCTCTAAGTTCGCTTTGCGCTTCTCTACCTCGACGTTTACCACGAGGTGGACTGAGCTACAAATTGGGATAGCTATGGGCTATACAATCTCACTAATACTGTTTGTCATGGCCATGCAGATCATGTTAGACTAGCCGGCTACGGACAGAGCCTTCAAATAGGGGATCACTGGATGTCTCCACTGCGTGCCTTTATGGATGACACGACTATTATAACGGGCAGCGAGGAGTCTGCCCGCACGATCCTGGAAAGATTGGACGCGGTGGTCCAATGGAGCGGTATGCAGTTCAAACCGCATAAGTCGAGGAGTCTGTCAATCCTTAGGGATCGAGTGGCGGCAACCAATTTTACGGTGGCAAGGAATAAGATCCCCACGGTTCTGGAGGAACCTGTGAAGAGCCTTGGTCGCGTTTACGAATCGAAGTTGTCTGATAGAGCGGAAGTCCGGCGAATACACGAGTCACAGGCTACAGGCCTGCTCGCGATCGAGCGTTGCAGGCTGATCTGGAAATTCAAGGTATGGTGTCTCCAATTCATGTTGATTCTGAAGCTCCTATGACCACTGTTAGTCTACGAGGTGACGATGACTGCAGTGGAAACCATGAAGAGGAAAATCAACACAGCCTTGAGAAAGTGGATTGGTGCACCGCCTTGTCTGACCGACGTGGCTCTGTATTGCAAGCAGGCTAAGCTGGTACTCCCGTTCAAATCAATAACCGAAAAGTTTAAAGTTGGCAAAGTAAGACTCGCCATGCTCTTGCGTGAGTCTTCAGACCCAAATGTCATCGCTGTCCAGCCCGCTCTCTAGACTGGTCAGAAGTGGAGGGTCCTCGATGCGATTGAATCTGCGCATAACGCACTAAAATAAAAGGAGATAATGGGATACACTCAAACCGACCGTCGAGGCCTAGGTCACGGAAAGGTCAATTGGTGGTCCAAGGCCACTGCCAAAGAACGCCGAGACATGGTAATACAACAGGTGAGGGACAACGAAAAAGAGGTTCGGGTCCAGAAAGCAGCCCAGCAGTCTCAGCAGGGCCATTGGGTCAGCCTGGAGAGCGCATTGCCAAGAGTGCTCACATGGGGTGAGATCTGGCGAAACAACGTAGGGGACGGGCCTCGGTGAGCTGGTCCGAGTTTCTAGTGGAAAAGGGTTTCTCACCCCTTGAAAGTCCATCGTGTCCAAATTGTCTGCCAGTGATCCTCTGCCAACTGCTTACAAAAGTCCAACATGTGTCCGGTATGCCAATCGTAAGCTTGTCGCTCGGTCGTCCAGGTATGCTGACTGTTCTAATTAGGCTACCGCGATGACTTCTTATCTCACAGTACCTTCTACAAATCACCAAGTCGTCTTGTCCTATCCGAAAGAAAACACCATCCGGTAATTTCGTGCAGCAGGGTACCAGCCCTGAGCTTCATGAACTTAGGTGGGCCCACCTCTGAAAACGTCTAGGAGATGGTGGGCCGAAACGTTTGTCGACGAGGATAACTTCTACTGATGACTGGTAGATCCCTGCTGTACTTGCTCCCTGTGAGTTTATTCCTATATTTCTGATGTGATTTACTCCTAAATTTATCATTCGAATTTTATTTCACAACAAATCTAATGAAATAGCAATGTTTGTAACAATTCCGTGATGTTGAAGAAGACGTGTAGTGCTATCAAAACAGTTATTGTTATTATTAAACAAAAATGAAGTGTATTGATTCTCTATTCCCCAGATCTTCTGGCTTTTAGGACGTGTCTGGAAGATGGAAGCTGGCAGGACAACTGGACAAATTACACCGCTTGCCTACAAGTTGACCTCTCGAAAAATGAATCCTTTCTTGCAGCGACCTATACCCCGAAGATACAAATCGAAAACCCTCAATACGTACGTAAAGTGAATGTTGTCCTCTTTTGTTTCCCCTTCTTTCTTTATAACCCTAACCTTCATTGAATATATTTATACCTTTGTATGCTTTTGCATGTATGCGGAGGCTCGCTGTTTCGGTGTTCATTCAGCAACTTCGAAGCCTCTTGTAACGTTTTTTTTTTTTTAAATCCGAGTGCATAATTTTGTTTATATTTTTTTCTGGGTGAAGTAACAGTCGCAGTTGGTATTTGTTTTCAAATAATCGTTCTTTTTAATGTTAAAGAAGTTCCATCTTCTCCTTCTTCATATCTCCCCTTTCTTCTTCTTATCTAGTTTCTTTTAACCCTTTTCCATCTCCGCCTTCTTGTTTTTCTTCTCTTCTTCTAATTATTATTATTATTATCCTTCTTCATTGACTTCTTTTCTTACTGCTCTTACTTCTCTTCCTTCCTTTTTTTTTTTTTTTGTGTGTGCTCTTTATCCTTTTTCTCTTTTCATTTCACTTCCTTCTAGCTTTCCATCTCCTTCTAATTGTTCCTTCTACTTTATCTTATTCTTCTCATCCTTCTCCCTCTCCATTTTCTGCATTTTCTCATCTTTTCTTCTCTCCGCCCCCCTCCTGCTCTTATTCCGTTTTCTTCGTCTTGCTGCTGCTGCTGTTGTTGTTGTTGTTGTAGTTCTTCTTCTTTTTCTGCTTCCTCTTCCTTTTTTTTTCTTCCTTTTTTTTCTTTTTCTTCTTCTTTTTCCTTTTTTTCCACATGTCTTTATAATCCTGCAGAGGTTATGACGGCTACGTTAAGTTGTCCGAGATACAGAAGACATATCGATCCACAAGGGCAGAGAAACTTGGGCGAGCTATACTAGTAAGATGGGAAACACATTTGGCACTTGATATGAATCAATGGAACCAGGGTAGTGATTAGTAATTAGTGAGGATTACCATTACAGCACTTCGGACAGATCCATCGGTGCTCCGGTCTCGTCCTCACTAGCTCCAAAAGTGTAAAACTTCAAACTAGGGTAGTGTGGAGCACTAAGAAACACAGACTGCGATGGGTAGCCTAAAGTGGAACATTGTAAATATTTATGCCCGGGGACATTAATTTCTTTAAAATGTGCAGTGGGATTAAAAAAAAGATACTGATTTAGGTGATTGAGTCCTGAAATATGGAGACTAATGCATGCGGCTATGATTGGTACCAGTCACATAAAATAGATAACTAAAAAACTTGGAACACGCCCTTGTGGAATCAGAGTTCATCTGCATCATCGATGGCTAACCCACACAAAAAAAGCACTGAGTCCAGGGGATGCAGACACTGCCATTGATCTCGCAGATCGCAGAACCAGACACTGTATATAGTGTACTTTGGTGATCCTGCAAGTGACCACATACCGTGTTCTGTCCTGCTGTGCAAACTGGGCAAGATCATAGTAAGGAAAACTCACAAGGTCTTCATATCTGACAAAACGAGTGGCTTTTTGGGTGCCTTAGGAAAAGACCATGGTCAGGAGTCACCAGGAATTGATTAATTCAGTCACCACAGTGGACGTCAGGGATGGAGCAAGCGTGGGGAAAAAATAGGTTGGCAGAGAGTATAAAGTTTTCCACTTTTTTTTTTCCATGAGGATACGGAAGCAACAAAATACGAGAAGAACGCGAGTATAGTCTTTCCTCTTGTGTCGAGTGCAGCACATAGGGCAGAGGTCATGACTCTCCATGCATGGCGGTTCGTTGCAATCTGTTGTAGGTCTTGGATGTTTGAGTGGCCCATGAGCGAGCCTTCCCTGATGATAGTTCTACGTAGGGTTTCCCTTGGTCTTCCACGAGATCTTTTCCCCTGTGGTGTCCAAATGAGGGCTTGGTAAAGTCTTGATTTATCCATTCTAAGAGCGTGGCCGACATAGTTCCAGTGGCGTTTTCGTATACAATTAGACACATACTCTTGCCTGGATTCTTGCCTTATTTGTGTATTGGTTCGGGAATCTGACCATTTGAAATTTAGTTTCTTCTAAGGCATTTATTTTCAAAACTGTCTAATTTTGTGTCTAGAGTTTTCGTTGATTTCCAGCTCTCGCATCCATAGGTTAGTACTGGAATCACACAAGAATTGAAGATCTTGAGTTTTGTGTGTTTGCTAAGTGTCTTTGATTTCCAGATGTTGGACAGTTTATTGAAGGCATTAGATGCCAGTGCTATTCTAAATGGTATTTCTGGTGCGGTATCTCCTGTAGATGACATCTTGCTCCCCAGATAAGTGAAACTGTTGACTTTTTCAAGGCTGTTGTTGTTCAGCGTGATATCAACTGAACTGTTGGTAAGGTCTAGAATTTTGTTTTTGCGGTGTTAATTTGGAGTCCAATTTGTTCTGAGAAATTCTGGAGTCGATTGATGTTTTCTTGGGCGTCTGTGTGTTCTGAACTCAGGAGTGCTATGTCGTCGGCGAAGTCTAGGTCTTCCAGAATTTTGTCAACCCATGTAATGCCTAAATTTGCGTTATTTATGCACTTGCGCATGACCCAGTCGATTGCTAAAACGCGAGTATTGCCGAATTTAAACTGTGCGCCGCAAATACTACACCCCCCCCCCCCTAAACTGTGCCCATGCTGCCTATATCTGGATTGATGACCTATTTTGTTTCTTGAGACTACTCACCTTTCTTACCGACCGTGAATTGCAGTTCTCTCGATATATTTCTATTCTTTTTCTTTCCTGTATGTAGACTAAGACACCACCGACAAAAGACAAGACATCATATTTCCACTGTCTTTGCTGCAGCTATCCTGCCGCTTTCACAGAAGCATGAGCACAGTTCGGAAAATAGTTTTTGTGGGGGGGGGGGGGGTAAAGAATAATTGGTAAGTTAAGAAACCGCATAAGCAGATGAGCTGACAAGAGAGACCCAACTCGGTTGATAGGATTTATGTACAAAGATCTAGGTCCTGACAACTGACATGGAGAGGAGGGAAGCTTTCTTGAAGAGGTTTTTAGAGCAGACATATAAGAATAACAGGACCATTAGGTGAGCCATTGTGATCGTGATCTTACCAGAGCAATTAGGGACACATCTTATGTGATAATCGTGCAAGTAAACAATACAAATGATATAAAGCATATTACGAAGAAAACAAAGATAGTGCACTCGGTCAAGTATGAGTTAGGTATAGTCATAGGAACAGTTCAAGTTACAAGGAACTTTGAAGAAATGGCATCGTATTTCAACAACAGTATTGCAACAACCAACGTCAGTTCCAATGGAAAGACTGCACAGTTACCTAATAACACTTCCCAAATAATGATCATACCAAATTAAATGGTCATAGATTTATTACGTTACACAATACATTCGGCAAGATTTGGGAAAGGTTAGTGGCAGTCAAATCACAGGATTACCTGGAAAAACTATCTATGCTTACTGTAATGAGGGATATTTTCACCCTGATTAGGACGTTGGGGGGAAAGTCCCAAGCTAACAATAATACCGAGAGAAGCCAGATACTCGGATTAACCTAGGTTTTCAAGATAAGGGATGACCACGAGTTATCACGTGGAACCCGATGATAGCAACCACAGGTCACCACGTGGAAGTAAAGGACCACCACGTGTTGCCACGTGAAACTATCACGAGGTATATGTTCAGATCCTAGTCTGATCAAGTTAGTATGTGTTGAACTGTCGGAGTGAAAAGACGGGAGATTGAGCAAGAGAATGACAACGTGAGATTGATTGCTGTGAGAGGAAAACCACACGACGACATCTATTTGAAGCCAAGACCAGCCAGGCTAGTCTGTATGATGTCGAGGAGAAGAACAGATACATGTGTGCGAACTCTGGTCAGTGACTGCGTGAGAAACCTGCATGTTGGAGTATGGGTAATGTGGCGTGTGAAAGCTGTTTCTTAGGACAAGAACCGGACATTGTGTAAGTGCTAAGATGTCAATAAACAGATGTATCGTACTGTTAAGTCGGCGTTGGCTTGTCCTAGTTATCTCATCGTAGATTGTGCGCTCAGAGTATTCGCTACACACATCATCTCCTAGACAACAGCCAGTGCAAGCAGAGTTAGTGCAAACACAGCCTATTGCACTTACTGGGGAAAGAGGAGGTGTGGGGGGGGGGGGGGTGTCAGGAACTTACCGACCAACAAAGGAAACATGGGAACATGCCGCGACGGTGGCTCGTGATATATATATATATGTATGTATGTGGCCCACTGAATATTGAAAATTCATATAACGGGGTGAGAAATGACGTTCTGCTTACACACTTATCGATATAGGGACCATTACCTGGATCTTCAAGCGTATTGCAGGTCGTATATGAACAGCAGACTGCCTTTCGCCTGCGCTTCGAACCTGAACTCTCATAGGTTGCGCTTTTTCCTCAGTGCTTTTTCAATCTGCACACAAGCAGGATATCGGAAGCAAAGACAGTGGGTATGGGATGTCTTGTCTTTTGCTGATGGTGTCTTAGCCTACATACAGGAAAGAAAGAGAATAGAAATATCAAGAGAACTGCAATTCACGGTCGGTAAGAAAGGTGAGTAGTCTGAAGAAACAAGATAGATCATCAACCCAGATAAAGGCTTTTATATTTTTTTTCTGTGGTGTTATTTAAATTAGAATTGTTAGAGATATGTTGTTTGTACATCCGAATAAACGACAGTAACATACAGAGAAATAATTCACACACAAAAATCAAGAAATAACTTTTGAAAGCTTTATATGACCACGCTCTCCGTGTGAGTTCCGGTGACCCATCGTAGGGAAAACATAAATAGATTTACTGCCTTACAGAAGCATGTCGTAAGAGACGACTAAATAGAAGATTTCTTCGAATTCGGAGTACATCTGCCTGAGAGGGAAGGAACCAGCAGTCTGATTCAAACGTGTGAAACGGATGTACACGCAACACTTAGTTTCTGGAACAGGGCTAGAGTCCAGAAGTGGACGAACAACCAGAACTTTAGGCCAGAGTTTAAAGCTGGTGAATACAAAGAAAAAGAAGAAAAGACTAC